TCGCCGCGTGGTTTGCGCCGCGGCGCGGGGACTGGCGCCGGGCGGGCAGGGAGCAAGAGCTTTGGGACTTCTAGGAGGCTGAGGTTTGGACATTTGTTAAGATCTCTGAAACTTGTAGGAAACTGGTATTAGACAAGTGCGAAGTGTGAATTAGTATTTTTGGGGTGCTGTTCAGAGAAATGTGTGCCATTTTTGTAAACGTAAAGGGTAACCTACTTCCAGTAGCTTGGCGCTTGACAGTATTAGAAGTTCAAAGTGAAATTCAACTTAATTAAACGGAGGAAAAAAAGCCCTACGTGTTGAACAGTGTTGATATAATTCAGTGATTTTCAGCCCTTTTCATCTCATGGCACACAAACTAATTGTTAAAATCCTGCGGCACACCAAAAAATGTTACATGTTTTGAATATGTGACAAAAGAATAGGTGTAATTACCAGATGGCTATTGTTGTGTTGACTGTTGTCATTTTTTTTTATTTGACAGCCTAAGGGGAAAAAAGATCAGTGCCCCTGACTGGATAGTCAGGTATTGTGTGTTTTAAAAAACTTGTGTAGCTCACTGGTTGAAAATCGCTGATATAATTACATAAATAAAATTATATCTTTGTGTTTAAGGAATGGATAGGGACATGGCTTGTTTTTTTCAAGAACATAAATATTTTAAATCAAGTGTAATTTTAAAAAAATGTTTGTTGAATGCTCATGTTATTGCTGTTGGTGTCACCTTTACATGAAAATAAAATGTAAATTATTTTTATCAACTAGTCAAGGACCACCCTGCAGTGACATCTAGAACAAATCAATTTTTAGGATATGAAGCTATAAATACCAGGCCAACAGAAGATTTGCATAAAAGACTAGGAAATTTTACAGAGCACACACCTTCAACCTGCATCCTGCTCTAGAGAGTACTGTTGGGGTGGGGTTATTAGGGAAGCCAGGGTTTCCCCCACCCCTCCTCCAAGACTCCTAAGGAAGCTGTACCCATGGAATAGCAGCAAACGAGAATCAAAAGTGCACGACTTCATCACGTGTTAGATAACAGTCGGCTGCAAGGCTCAGGTAATTTCATGTAGTTTAGGCTCAGTGCCTAAACAAGGACCTCTTACCTTTTCCCAGGCTCATGCCTATATCTGGGAACCTTACCATTGTTGATGGCTGACTGGTGAGGAACCCAAAGCAGTGACCCATATGCTTGGGCAAAGAGAACAAGGCCTGCCTGGCCTTGCCTCCTGCAGGGTGAGAAGAGCCAGGGTAAAGGAAAACCATTATGTGTCGTTTTAACGTGCTAGAGTCCTGGTCCCTGCTAACCAGCCCAGCCCAGTCATTGTCTTAGACGTGGGCCATTTGTATTATAAAGCCCTTCACTGGAACAGCTTCAGGAAAAAAGGTAATGGGAAGCAAGTGGCAAGGCAAAGCCGTGCCTCCCCTTCCAGAGAGACTGTTTCACCTTCATACGGTCCCCAGACATTCCTGGTCACTGCTCTTTTTGCTGGTTCACACAATTCTCTGTAACCTTTTTCCCCTTCTCCACCTGAAGAAGTAACCCCTTGAGCCACACCTGCTTGAATTGTTATTTTCCGCGTGGCATTGACCACATTGTGGCCCAGTACCTTCACATGTCTTTGTTCATTTAGAATTTCTCTAAATTGCAGGCTAGACTATGTTCTTGATTAATTGTAGGGAGTGATGGCTCTGCCCAGATGTGTATGCTACCACCAGCCCTGCTCCCTTAAGCAGAAAAGGAATTTCTGACAGAAACTCTGGAAGAACTAAGAAAGGAAAGTTCTGGGATTGGTGAATTCTCAAGTAATTTGGAACACTCCGTTTTTAGTAGTATAGCAGGTGGAAAAAGTGCTTCAGGGAGTCAGGCGTTGTGCAATCATTGGCCTTGGAGAGGATTTCACCACCTTCCCCCATCTTCCTGTTTTCCCATTACTAGTTCCATTAAAATTCAGGTCTCATACTTAACCCGACCTTGATCCCAGTATCCACACCTGAGTCTGTGGGCTGTTGCAGAGGTGAGTGTTGGGTGTAGTTTGGGTATATTTCTACAGATGGAACCATACTGGGTCCCACTTCATGTCCACAGGCAAGCCTGAGGCTCAGTCTGCTGTAGGAGCTCCAGGAGGCTTGCCTAGGCCCGGAGGTCCTTGGCATCTTCAAGGCAGTTCATAGATGTAAGATGTTCCAACAGGTTAAGTGACAGGTAATCCAAGAGAAACCTAATGGGGGTGTTCCCCATCAGGTTTTGGTTAATACACACACGCGCGCACACGCACACACACACCCCGTTGGTTGCATTCTTTGGTTTAGGTGCGTGAGAATGGGGAGAATGGGATAAAACACAGAAGTACCATATGGTCCAGCAGTTCCACTTCTGGTTATGTACGCAAATGAAGGACTTCAAATGTAATTATAAACCAGTGCTCACAGCAGCTTTATTCACAACAGTAAAAAAATAGATTCTGCGGCAAACGTCCATCAATAGATGAAAACAAAATGTATATACGTACAAGGGAATATTCAGCTTTAAAAAGGAAGAAAATTGTGCCACATGCTGCAACATGAATGAGCCTTGACAGAATGCTAAGTGAAGTAAGCCAGACACAAAGGACAAATAAGAGATTCCACTTCCATGAGGTACCTACAGTAGGCACATCCAGAAAACGGAATGGTGGTTGCCTGGGGCTGGAGGACGGGGGAATTGGGAAGTTCATGTTTAATAGGACAATTATTGGGAAAGATACAAAATTCTGGAGATGAATGGTGATGGATTTGTAACTGTGAATGTGCTTAATGCCACAGAACTGTGCACTTAAAAATGGTTAAAATGGTAAACTTTATATTTTACCACCAAAAAAAGCAGAGTAATAGCCTGTTACAGCCAGCAACAGGATTGAGTTGATTGCTCTCTTCCTAAGTCTTCAGGGTGAAGGTAATTGCTATTTCATGTAAGCAATTAAAATGTAATTCCCATGCCCTTAGCATTTAAAGTTCTCTAATTTGTGGACTGTTAAGAGGTATTTCCAGGGTTTCTGACTTAGCATAGCTTTAAAGTTTTGTGAAATATAAAGAAAACTAAGTATAACAGTGAAAGTATAAAAATAATTAGAAAAAGGCCTCGACCAAAAGTCAAATGATGGGACATCTCTTGATGGCTTCATGCCTTTTTCTGGTGAAATCGGGAACCCTTGGACCTCTCCATGCACCACCTCTTTGGAGTTGTGGTAAAAATACATAAATATACATACACACATATAGGTATGTACATGGCCATTTTGATGACTACAGCAGCATTCAAATGTGGCATATTTATACTGAAAAAGTAAAAATACAATGAAACAATAGCA